CTGACATATATAGATATATAGACAAAGAGAGAGGGAACGACAGATAGATACGCCTAAACAGTAGGTGAACATTAACTTCTTTGCAATATATATATATATATATATATATATATATATATATATATATATATATATATATAATGAGAGACATGGACAAAAAAGAGGAAGAGAGAATTTGCTTGTGTTTGCGTGTCTCTGCGAGATCGCACGTGCAGCAAAGGTGACCATATATTTTGATTATTTTTTAATCGAATAGCGATTAAAGATAATTCGTTGATAATTGAAGTGTGGAAAGCAATGTTTGTTCAAAAATAGCTGAAAAGACTTTTTTCGCCGACATAAAATTTTCATTTCTTTAATCAGCAATGAAATGTTCTACATATGGCGTCTTTAGGTGATCCCAACTCTTCTGAATGTCTTCGGCTGCTAACGTACGGGTCTACCTAGACCTTAAGTTTTAATGCTTCATCATCGTCAATTGACGGTCGTCCACTTCTGGGTTTTATCTCAAGGGGAAAACGCAACAGGCATAAAACGCTAACCTCTGTTTTGAGCCAAGCTCTCAGATATTGTTATATTTCGTTCTAGTCTCTAAATTTTGTAAGCAGCTTTAGAAACTTTGGGGCCGAATTAAAAATTGAATCACAATGAGTTTTATCTGGCATTATGACATCTGAAACAAGAGATATAGCTACAGAGTATCATTACACACACACATAAATATATATATATATATATATATATATATATATATATATATATATAGGATGTATCAAAAATAATTTTACTAACTTGTGGCAGGTTCCTCACACCAAAACAAGGACAAATGTCCATATAAATATGTCAGGAAATCCTTCCTTTTTGAGTTAAGTTTAAAGAAAGAAAGATGGCGTGATATGTTGACATATAGACGAAGTTCTATCTGTCATTCGTGTAGATTTTGTGACTAGTCTGTCCTCAACGTTTAACGTGTGTTGTAGTGAGTTAACTGAGAAGTGTTCCGTTTAACAATGGCAGGATTTTCATATCGGGAAAAGGCAGATATAATTTTTACATATGGCCACGAAAATGTTAATGAATGCAAGGCTGCACGGCTTTACCAGATTTCGTTTCCAGACCGAAAACAACCGAGTCGTTCAACTTTTGTTTCTGTTTATCGTCGAGTTGCCGAGTCAGGATCTGTGGTTCCACAAACGATGGATCGAGAAATACCGAGATTCACTCGTATGCCTAACCACAAAGAACACAATCTACAGGCTGTCGACGATCCAGGTATCTGCACACGTCAAGTGGCCTTAGGCTGTCGTATATCTCATAGTACCGCATGGAGGTTACTTCAAGAGCAGCTGCTGTATCCGTATCATTTGCAACGCGTACAGGGTTTTCGCCCTCTATGGGAGAAAATTTTGCGATGGTTTGTTGCACAAACTGCTGCTCATTGTTTCTCTTATCAATCGTGTTAACCGATGAGGCATGATTTGAAACAAATTTACACAACGAACATTACAGGGATTTTATTTGTAGCACACTTCCAGACAGTGCTAGAGGATGCACCCCTGCTAGTACGAAGATGCATGTGGTTTATGCATGATGGAATCCAGCACATATTAGCCAAATTGTTTGCGATGCACTGACTAACATCTAACATAAAAGATGGATAGGTAATTGAGGACTGGTTCCATAGCCTTCCCGACATTTGTCCTTTGAATTTTTATCTGTGGGGTGACCTAAAACACTTGGATTATGAAGCGGACATTAATAATACATCAACGTGGCATCCGTGTGGGAGTATTTGAAAGAGTCCGCCAGTCAATGGTCCAACGGGTTCATGCAAAGCAAGGACATTTCGAACATTTGTTATGAGTTGTGTGGAAGTCCAACAATGACTTTTTGGATATATGCTTTTATGGACATTTTATCTTCTTTGGTGACAGGAACCCGCCCCAAAATTGCAAAAATATTTTTGGATTGTATCTTGGATTTTACATTTAACAGCATCTACCGTAAACTGTAAACAAAGACGAAGAATTTGCAACATATGCTTATATGGACTTATAAGGAAAGTGTGAGAAGACCGCTCCCAAAGTTTGTAAACGTATTTTTGATACACCCTATATACATACATATATAGATAGATAGATAGATAGATAGATAGATAGATAGATAGATAGATAGATAGATAGCTGATATCCCCTGAGAAGTAGACGGACGGGTTCATCTACGAAACTCTAGAGTCGGATGCTGAAGGTAACATCAATCATCTCATTGACAAGCCTTTTACTTAGATTAATTTTCTCTCTCTCTCTCACTCTCTTTATATATATATATATATATATATAGATAGATAGATAGATAGATAGATAGATAGATAGATATTATCATATTTATCGTTTTTCATATGCTGAAATCTCGTCCGCTTTCTTCCTCTTTGACGAATATATTTATTTGACATTAATAAAACCACGTGTTTTAATTATAAGACTATATTTTCCTGAAATCATCATCTAATTATCTCCAATTACACGAATAAAATGACTAGCGGGAATATTTTTTGCTAATTAAACCTTAAATATTTTGAGTTCAGAATTAATTAAAGGTTCAAAACCATATACGAGATTATTTCTCTTGCATGAAATTTGGTTGTATGGTTGATTGTGTTTAGCGGCATAGTAACACCTCTATGGGTTACTTAATGCCGAAATCAAAATATTTTGTACGTAATATTATGCTTTCAACTACAGGTATGTTTACATATATTTATACTCTCAGAGTAAATATATACTTCATAGATATGTAGCTTGTAGATCATTAAATGTGTTGTTGGTAATTTTACTATAAAAATTTATTTTTTATATTTTTTAGTGTTGCATTGATTTTCATTTTGCTATAAAATTTATTGTTGGTCATTTTATTTATCAAAAGTACTGTTGCTTTTTGTTTGGGGTTTCACTATTAGACAATGTAACAGGTTCTTTCATCCCGGGTCAGGGTGGTCCTGAGAACAACAGCAGTTAAGAAGTGTTTCTGCGTTCCTCAAAAGCTTCTGATCAGAGGCATTGCTGCCGGATGTAGTTTGTCATCATACCCAGGACGAATATAATTTAGTAATAGATCGACTGGTTTTCGATCATTCTTAATATTCAGCCACTCTGGCTTTTATTTACGTTTAAAATAAAATAAAAAAACACCAGACCTATAGTTTTAGTTTAAATAACTAAGTTTTCATTGGAAATATACCCAGAAAAATTTTAATTCAAGTCTGATTCTGGTTTTCAGTTTTAATTACTATTCATCGATTGCCGTGTTTATTTGCATTGATCCGGAGGTTTTTATGTTTTCATTCATTTATTTATTTTTGGAATAGCTAAGGTTTCACTAGAAATATATCAAAGAAAACTTTTAATTCGAATTCTGATTAAATTATAATTTTCCAAGCATCTCCATGATTTGCTTATCTTTCATAGACGTTAATAATCGATTGGCTATGTCTGTTAATATTATTCTACTTGGTTTGTTTACTTAAATAACATTTGACTTTAACGGAAACGCTTTAATTTTGGTGTAATTAAATTTTGAGATATTAAAGCCTTGAATTTTTTTTATCTGTCTAATTTATTAAATTTGTCTTCAAGAAGGTATTATATAATAAAATTTATTTACCTGAATTAAGCCATGGTAAAAATGTTGATTACTGTTCTGATTTTATTAATATGTTCAGACTATTTCCAGGACTTTATCTTGCATATAACTTGATTAGAGCCTGAGTGGATTTCGATTTTTCATTCCCGTTCGAATTCAGGCCGTTCTTGACTGTGACTCGATTTGATGTCTGGTTCCACATTGTATAATAATCGAAACCAATTTGTATTCGGCTTAAAACAATTAATAATCCGAAATATATATCGTCAATATTCACAGAATTCCGAAACAATTATGGGAATGATTTTAAAATAAAGCAGGATCTCTATCTATAAAAGGCAGGGGTGTGTGTGTGTGTGTGTGTGTGTGTGTGTGTGTGTGTGTGTGTGTGTGTGTGTGTGTGTGTGTGTGTAACGAATGCACGGCTGCAATTTTCGACGGATCTGCACCAATATTTACATGCACATTTAGCGGGAAGGCCAAAATTTGAATTTCACAACTCCCATCGATAGTGGGAATAATTGATTTTTTCAGGCTTCTACGGCAGTTTTCATGTAGTTCGCGGCCATTTTCTACCGTTTTCTATAGCTGGCTGCCACAAATAGGCAGGAAGATTCTATTGGCCATCGTGAGAGCCAACAGCTGACTGACACGAATGTTAACTAGCATGCTAGCATGCAAAAAAATCGATGGCTGCATTCGTCACAAGTGGGAAAAATTTAAATCTGCTTGGCACTTTACTCCAATTGGCTCATTCGCTTGCTTAAACTCAACGTTGATTCTGATTCCGCAGAACTGGGACGGGTGTGAAAAATTATTTGTTGTTAACATTCTTTTTTTCATTCGGTTTTTCCAGTTACGAGTCCTTTTTTAAAGCTGATCGTTTTGTGTTCATTTTGTTTAGTTCTTTTTTCGTAACAGATTTAATGTTTAGTATAGAGCTTAGAAAAAATCGTAGTGTGAGATAGGCAAGAAGTAAGGCATGTAGCAACATCAGCACGGCAAAGGGCACTCCTTTAAAGGCAAGGAAGGGCAAAAATATTTTAAGTCAAGTGATAGCGATTGCTGTCTGAGTCGTACGATTTTTGAATCAAGCACGGGCAACACCGGGTCATGCTGCTAGTATATATTGTAAGCAAACTGCTTGCATAGAGATACAGATGGATGGTTGATTCTTTTTTACGGCCTATCAACTTTTGCAGGTTATTTAAAGCCAGAAAATATTTTAGATTGTATGATTTTTTTTTTTTCTGGAGGTAATAATGATTTACTAATACAAGTTTCACTAATTAACATAGAGCTGGGCTGAGAATAGGTGGATGTATACATTTCCGGGGAGTATTTGTGCGTAACAATCCAAGCTTACAACACCTGGTATTTCCAAAAGTTACCCATCTAGATACTAACCAGGCCCGACGTTGCTTAACTTCGGTGATCGTACGGGACTTGGTGTTTCAACATTATATGGCCGTAAGCATTGTATAAGCATAGAAATTGAATTAAGTACACAAAAATAGAAAGAGACGTAAGACAAGGATGCCTATTTTTTCAGGATTTATTTAACTTATACAGCGTCTTAAAAGAACTAGAATTTATTTTTGCTGTGTTCAATCTTAGCCAAGATTCTACAGGAAAGCAGAAATAAATAACTAATCATCAATTGTAAGAAGACAGAATCTATGAAGGGTGACGCAAGATGCGATGGGTAAGACGTTAAACTACATCCAACAGACTCCCGGGGTGTGAGGATAAACTACATCCGCGTCCTGGGTAAGACGATAAACTACGTCCAACAGCCAGGCCTATGATTAGGAGGTGTTGAGGAGTGTGGAACGACTTCTTAATTGCTAGCATCTGTTAAGGTTTCAGCTATGGGCAAATAATTAACCCCCAAACTGGTGTCAAAACTCTATGAAAATGTACAAATAGGTTTTAATACCAGAAATGATTTGTAAAAGAATTATTATCAGCAATACATTATTACGAGCAATACATTTTTTAAGGAAAAAATGTTACCAGCAATACAATTTTTGAAATTTTGACGACATTAAATAACACATTGACGTTGATATGCCGCAAAAAATCCAAACTAAATCAATATGCGAATTGTGAAATGGAGTTATCAAAATTGCATAGTTAAAGCCTGGCCTGCCTTGAATAAAATGGATGTAATGTGGAAATCATTACCAGACAATCTTAAACGGTTCTTCATTCGCCCCAGTGTTTGAATAAATATTGCTTGCACATTAACTAAAACGCTTGAGTCTAAGCTTGATGGAACATATGTTGAGAGCTATAGTTAACATCTCTTGGAGACAACATCCAAGTAAATCACAGCCCTATGGACCTACCTTTGATATTTCTACAATCTTACATGAACGCCGAATGCGTTTAGCAGGACACTGCGGACGAGAAAAACAAGAACTTGCGCTTGATATATTGATGTGGGCGCTGAACAACCGTCACTGACCAACTATGTAACGAAACAGGATGCTACCCTAATGTCCTTTCGATGCAGGACTGTGATGATTGGCGTGATAGAGTCGTGAATGCCCGAGGTTGCTCGACCGAATAAAATAATAAAGTTTGTAATAAATGATAGAAAATGTACCAAAGAAATCCGAAGGTACATAAAAATATAGACTCCTCATCATCATCATCATCCATCCATCCATCCACCCATCCCTTGACTGCTTCAATACTCGGGCTTGGGTTGTTCTGAGGACAAAAAAAGACAACGTTCTCCAGTATGACCTGTTAGCAGTGTCTTTCATGACTCCCAACATGGTCAAGTCTCTACTGTCTTTTTTTAAAAGCTCAGAGGGTCAGTAGGACCTACGTTCCGATTGGCGTATCCTGTGTTAATAAGTTGATGGTGTTTGTCGCTCACTTGTCACGCCCATCCTGGAGTGGGGACAATGTTGATCCTGGCCTTGATCCATCCGGCATGATGTTGCTTTGTTTCTTCTTTCTCATGATCATTTCAATGGGCGTTCAGATAACTTGGCGGCACCCACCTTCTCTCGAACAGAGGTGGATGTCTTAATCTAAGTATAGTATTAAGAGCTCAGAAAATGTCGCAATAAACAAAGAAAAATGGTGCTGAACATTGATGCAATATCAAAATCTCCTGGCGTTGAGTGTCGGGCAATCTCTTCACTGGCAAAGATAAAAATTGAAGCGACAGAGATGTTGCGGTAAGACATCACGGTTGCTTCTCTTGTCTTATGAATTGTATAAATAAGTGCCGACGTCTAAGCCCAAACGGCAAGATTTTTCAGTTACGTTCAATAAACACATTAAGAGGAATTTATTTATTGAACGTAATTATGGACAAATACTTTAAACCAGAACGTCTCGACTTGGACCCTGCAGACCCGTCTTCTACTGACGCCTGACAATATTGGAAACTATTATTCGAAGGATCCTTGCTGGCACTGGAAAATAGTTCATCCACTCCTATTACTGATACGGATAGACTTAACCTGCTAATGCATCATGTTTCCATTTCCGTATATATCAATATTTCTCACTGCTAAACTTACCAAAGTGCCATGGACATTTAGAATGAAATTTTTGGGAAGAGACAAAACATAATCTTTGCTTGCCATGTATTAGCAACTAACCACCAGTCCCTTGAAGAGGGGTTAGATCAGTATCTTTAGTGCTTAAAAATCTTAATTCGAAAATGTGACTTTCAAGCGACGGCAGCAGATTAGGCAAAGGACGAATTTGTCAGAGACTCCTTTATAAATGAATTAGAATTGAACTATATCTTGCAATCAGATTGCTGCAAAATAAACTAGATTTAGCTACTGCTCGCGAGCAGACACTTACCTTGGATATGGGTGAAAAGCAATTTTGTTCATGCCCACAAATAAGTGTTGCAGCGGTTCCACTAAGAACTCACATTCCTACTAATTCCCTAGTTCAAACAACCCAAAAAGAAAAAAAATAGTCCTCTACCACATTTCTACTCCCACTTCCGCCAGACACTGAGAGTGTGCTTCGGTTGACCAGCGTTCAGTCTATATTACTGTTGATCTTTAGTAGCCCCACCCCACGCGGGTACATGTGGCACAAGGCCGAGTTTAACGTGGGTCATCCGATTCCGTAGGCTCAGCTAAAAAATCCCTGTAAAACCCGCATAAACGGGTTCGGGTCTGTCTACAGCCTCGTCCGGATTCATCTCAGCTCAAGGCGGAGATTTTGAAAGGAGCTGAGAACAGTCACAGTCTCGGTAGAACAGTCTATATCACTGTTAATATTTAACAGCCACCAACCAGGAGAGATATATGTGGCACAAGACCGAGTTTAACGTGGGTCATCCGAGCCCGTAGGCGCGGCCAAAAATATTCCCTTAGAACCCGCATAAACGGGTTCAGCGTCAGTCTACCTCCCCGGACGAAACTTTGCCCTTCGGCCAAGCTTCGTCCGGGTTCCTCTCTGCCCAAGGCAGAGTGTTTGACAGTTGAACAGGCTAGAGCACTGTTATATTTAACAGCCTCCTCCCCACGAGGGATGTATGTGGCACAAGGCCGAGTTTACCGTAGGTTCTCCGAGCCCGTAAGCACAGCCAAAAATATTCCCTTTGAACCCGCATAAGCGAGTTCAGGGTCTGTTTACCTCCCCCGGGCGAAACTTTGCCCTTCGGCAAAGCCTCGTCTGGGTTCCTCTCTGCTCAAGGCAGAGAGTTTGACAGTTGAACAGACTAGAGCACTGTTCCCCCGAGATTTACTTTCCAACTAATTTTTTAGTAAGTGGAAGAGTCCACAATAGACTCATTAGACGGAGGACACCACAACAGAAACCATCAAATAAGTCATCTAAAAATCACGTATAATCATAATGACTCCACGTGAAATTAGAGAAATCAGATGTATTTTACATATTTGGATTAATTCGAATAAATGAGAGGTTATTATATCTACACCAATGATTCTCGCCTTCGTGTGGGAATAAGTCTTGCGTATCACAGAGATCTAGAGAGCGCTATACTGTCAGGAATATTGTTTCTGATAGGTCGAAACAAGCCAGGTAGTGTAATTAGTAAGAATCAAGCAAAATAAGAATCGCATGTGATGCAGCATAGTGGTTGTGCTGATTCGACCGGAGAGTCAATCTTAATTTCTAACCAATAGGGAATTATTCATGATGCTGAATATACCAATATCTCAAGCACTGATAGATTGGTTGACTTTTTTTATGGCTTACCATACCCAAAGCCTTTAATTTATTACAATATGTTACAAGCAGGCTAACACTCACATTCATATAAATTGATTGATTTGAGTTTTACGACTTATCATCATTTTACAGGTTATTTAAAGCCAGAAAAATATTTTTTAGGGTGTAAGAATTTCTTGGAGATAAAAATGAATTACTGATACCACCAATTAACCCATATATGGGGAGATAAAATGTGGATTTATACTTTTCCCAACGGTATTTGGGCGTAAATGAGTATAACGAACTCGACTGGAATTAGAACTCGGCTCTTCTATTTCCATTTCCGAGTCGTTAGCGCATTGCACCACCCAGACATCCAAGACAACACCCGACATTACCAAGGAGTCACCCATATAGTTACTGATCAGTTTCGACATTGCTTAAATTCGGTGATCGTACGGGAATCGCTACTTCAAGGTAATATGCATATAAGCCAAATAATTACTCTGATTATACTGCAGAGATTACACTGTACAGCTTAGTTATTCGCACCGAAAGCTCTAATACGAACATTTCAGATTTTTTGAGTGTCAGAGGACAGTGCAGAGGATTCGAAAAATGTTGGATGATATATCCAGTCAACATCATAGCGTCGGGAGTGATCACTAGTTATGGCGACGTTATACTTCGATTCATCTTCCCACAGGGAAGACCGACATCAAATGCCTTGAGAAGGTAGTGCCGCCTTGGGTCAAAAGGGTGGCAGCTGGAAGACCCTATGTCTGGCAACGGAACTCTGCGCCATGCCACACAAACAGGAGAAAACAGTCATAGCTGTCAGACAACTTCCGCAACCACATCGCCTTTTACGATCTGGTCAGCTAAATCCCTAGACTGCAACCTCCTTGATTATTATGCGTGGGGCGCAGTTGAACGAAATATCGATAAAACTCCTTTGTGACACCAAAGAGGAACTGAAGGCAAGGATTATGACAGCATTCACCAACTTAATCATGGAGACCGTCCAGAAGAGTTGCAAGAGATTCCGAAATCGTCTGGAGGCCGTGGTTGAGGTCAATGGCGATTTTATTGAATAGAGTTACTCTTTAGTATTTCAAGATATTTTTGTGTAATTTTAGTAAATATTTCTGTTCAAATGAAATGTCAATGTTATTTTCATTTTTGCGTAATTTATACGACAGTTTATCCATCGCACTCTCTAACTCTTCGTCCTTCGATGCAAGTCAGGATTTTTATCTACGAATATTCTCCAGTGTTATCCGAGGCAGAGTATAGAAAAAGTTT